TACTCATACAAATCTTATGCGCCTTTTAACGCCCTAAAAACACGTAATCAACGAAGTTGACAAAAGAAGAAAAGAACCGTTAAGAACTTACATGCTTTACTTCTATTTTATGTATTTGTTTCTTCGCTGAATCTGGATCAGTCGCGAACTTAAGATCTCCAACACCAGCCAGATGAAGCAATTAGACTTGCGCGTGTACAGATGTGGCAAGTGATTTTCTTTTAATTCTCCTTAGCGAACCAAGATTCCAAGCTAAACGCGTGTAACGTATAACGTATAACGTCAAGCTGATGCGAGAAACAATGCGAATAAACCAATGAAGGCGGCGATCGCAGCGATGCTAGATTATAGCTTAGATAGCTAGATTCGAGTTCCGGCGCCACCGACTCACCCGTGAATTAGATGAAAGAGGCGCATGTCCTGAAAAAGCCAATTACGTCCTTACGTGTTAATGGTTAATACTCTTTCTTAGGATATGTGCCCTTTACCTATCTTCTGATCTCCGGATGAGCCGCAGGCATCACGGATTAGGTCAGGCATTTCTATTATGCCACTGATGTTCTCTTTTGTTACAAAGTATTTAGAAGCCTTTTGTTGATTGCATTCTAAAATGTACTGAAAGTTTGTAGCATATACAATGTAAATTATGGATGATCAATACTGTTAAATTTCTCGAAATGCACCCTTTATATAAGCTACGTTCAGCAGAAAAATTAGCTTAATGATTCTTTATTATGATTGAGTTACATTAGATATAAAATATTTGGATGCAACGAGAAACTAATACTAGATCTACATAAAGACTATTTTCACAATGAGATTATAACTTCAAAATATTTGAATATTTTTTATTAAATTTCACGCAGTCAAGTTTTATCGTAATAATTAATGAGTATTGATTACCTCATTTATGCAATAATAACTGTTAATCGCTAAAATATGCTAGCAAAATAATAAACGAACAAATGGGTTCGATGAGGTGTATATCACAAAAATTATCTTCTTTATTATATAGAATACATTGAATTCTCGCTTTACCTGACACAGATCCGACATTACACATTCAATGACATGTTCAATAATCGATTTTTTTCTTTACATACATATGTATATTAAGCAATAAATGTGAATTACACTGTTTTAACTTAATCGCATTTTATTGAGCCCTAATTAATAAAAATATTAAAAACGTATAATTCTGACAAACATTAAAAACAAAAATAAAGTTAAAATGAAATATAATTTGCTCGTTGAAGAAAGTATGGTTGTTGCTAAAGAGTCTGACACTATTATGTACATAGGATGATCTATAGAACAATTGGAAATTTTAATAAGATATCTAATAAAATATATAGTACTGATAAAAATAAATAAAACATTTATATATACACATAACATAAGTTTATAAGGATTCTTATATTTTTCATTTTCTTTTGTTTTAGATCAACCTGTAGACTTGATATACTTATATAACTAAACTACATTAAGTATAATTAATAATAGTTTCAATCGTACATCTAAACCTAAATAACGAATTACTTTTAATTCATATTAATACTTATTTGCATGTAAAATCTTACATATGTCAAAATTGAAAGTCATATATTTATAGAAAAGAAGAAAATGTTTACTAATTAAATTAAAAAAATATCTTTATCATGTTTCATTATTTTTAGTATTCATGACTTCTTTTATATGAATCTGAATAAAATTTGCCGAATGCGTTTCCAAAAATTTTGCATTACATAAAAATGCAAGTTGTACAAGTTCCAAAGCATTTTTAATCGTAATATAGCGTAGCAAATAATGCTCACACGTTAATTTTAAATCCGGTACATCATATTTATTAGCTGTAGTTAACAATTTCTTAAGCATGTCATAATCACACTGATCTACTGAACCAGTTATAATATATAATAAAATGTGTTTAAAAGATTCTACCTCATTGTCCGATACTAATTCCTTTGTCATATCTTTTTCTATTCCCTCATGAGTGAGACACATATTCTTAAAGTAACTACTGTTGGTGGCATACAACAATTCTCTCGATACAACATACTGTTCTCCTCCTACTAGAAATTTGATTGATTCCCTAGACTTAAATTCATGAGTTGAGTCGTCATGAGATTTCATATCTTTCAATACCGTTGAGGATGGTAGTAAATGCATGTGTATAGTGTTATTTCCCATTTTATGAAAGCATTCAAACTTGCAATGTATTATAAGCGTATCTGTAGAATTAAACTGAAACTCAGCTGTCGAGATTCCAATTAACAATGTCATATCCGATATACGACCCAAAATCGAATTTGACGATAAAGCTGTTTCAGGCGGATACATTACAGTAGTGGTACATGAACCGTTAAATGCTTTATTAGTACGTATATAAAAGTTCACTACACCTGTCGTACCAGGGTGACGTAAAACACTCATTTGAATCATGTGTTGACCTGCAGTTTCTGGAAACGATGGAGACTTTATCGTATTCGTGATCTTAGAAAAACGCAAAAATTGATCAATTTTCCATGTATGATCAAGTATAGTCGACTTTATCTGTGTTTGAGAACAGCTCTTGATATACGAAGGTAAGAATGATGAAAATATCGTCGTTTGCTCCTTTTCCGGGATAGTCTCAGAATCAGAGATATCCTGAACTTCCTCTTCAGACACCTGGAAATAATTGATTTACTCATGAATAATGAAAATGTTCAAAATGTCCTAAATCTCTATGCTTTGTAATAAAATAGACTGATAATTTCAAACAAATCTCCTAACATAGATATATAATAATACTTTACATCATGTATAATATAGATAAGAACTATTTGATATCTGATTTTAGTGAAACTACACATGACGATTTTTTAGAAGTTCTATAAAAAGTGATATATTAAAAGTAATTAAAGTAATAGATGTATATAATTAAAAGTAATATATATATTTAATATATCAATTTTTAATAAAAAAAATATTTTATGTCAGACAATCGCGAAAAAAGAGTTGAACAAACAGCTAAATTGTTGGAGAAAATTTAAATACGACTATTTTTGTTGACCACGATCGATTTTATATAAATAGTTGAAAGTTTTGTCATTTTGCGTCAAATTTCAGAAATTATTAGTAAACTGCTTTCTTGTCTAACTAAGTCTTAAACAATCTATAATTCTCCTTTAAACTAAAGAAAAAACTTTTATTTTGTCTGCATAGCTCTATATAAGTAGATCCAATTTTTAAGGCGTTTTTCATATCATATATATGTATATATAAACAGAGTCCTATCTTAAATAGGAATAATTTTTAATTGCACTCACAAATTACATATGCTAGTAGAAAACAGTTTTGACAAGTGTCTGAATGTTTATGAATTTTCTTTGTTATGTAGAATGCATGGAATTGTCGACTAGGATATATCATGAATGTATTGATTCGTTTATACAAACTCTTAAGCTGCAGGACATACATTTAGCGAACGAACAGCGAACGCAAACGTTCGTTGTCATTATTCAACAGATATAATCGAAAATTTCAAATTGCTACATGTAGCAAACATTGAATCTGGTCGAATTCTGGTGTTTGGTACAACCGAAAAAAAGAACAAACAATCTAGGAACACAAACGCGAAGGTCTAAACGTTCGCGTTCGTTGTTTATTCGCTAAGTGTATACCTAGCTTTATTATGTGTTTTCTAATGTCCTAATAACACGTAATCAGCTTCATCAGCGAAGTTGAGAAAAGGACTATTTGGGAAAACAATTAGAGATAATTTGCTCAACGTCACACATGTCTCTGAATTATAGCGTTTTCGATTTTTTGGCTCGAGCCGACTCGGGTCAACTTGGATCAGATTAAAAGCTCAGAAAAAAGATAATGATGATGAATATAATAATGCCACGAAATATAATAATATGCCACGATAATATTAAAAATTTTTGGTGAAGGTTATAAAGAAACGCTTTCTGTCAGAAGTTTTAGAGAGTAATCAAATTTCAAACCGAAATTTTGATCTGGCTCGAGTAGGGTCGAGTCAACAAATCGAAAACGTTATTAGAAACGAAGATAAATAAACTGGTAGAAAAACTCAAGAACTTACTTGCTTCTCTATGCGTATTTTCTTTTCCGCTGAATCTTGATCAGTTGAACTTAAGATTTTACGTTTCTCTGATGAAGACGACATGCTTCGGTAATATTCCAACACCGTTCAGATGAAGAAATTATTAGACTAATGCGTGTACAGATGTGGCAACTGATTTCTTTTACTTCCCTTTATCAAATCAAGTTTCCAAGCTACTGCGAATATAAATGTCAAGATGATATGAGAAGTAACGCGAATGAACAAATAAAAGCAGCCACTGCAGTGATATCAGATTCGAGCTCCGGCGCTCCAGGGCCCTCAGGTTCACCCGTAAAATAGATGGAAGGGGCACATATCCTAAGAAAAAGGCCACTTACATGTTAACACGTGGCTCTTTCTTTTAGGATATGTCGATATGTGCTAAAATATACCCTCTCTACCTATCTTCCGGAAGAGTCGCGGGCGCCGCGGATAGGTCAGGAACTCGATTCTTGAATTTATTCGCAAGAGAAACGTATGGACAAATGTTGTTCTTACAGAAAAGTTGCAAGTCAATTGGCTATCGCATTGACTTTTAATCAATCAACTTATAACGTTTCTGTAAGAACAAAATTTACGCATACGTTTCTCTCGCGAATAAATTCAAGAATCGAGCCCCACGGGTCATTTCTGTGCCACTGCGATCCTTTCTTCTGATACAAAGTGTTTAAAAATCTTATCCTTTTGTTGACTGTATTCTAAAATGTACTGGCAGTATTGAAAGTCTGTGGCATATGTAATTTAAATTATGAATTATCAATACTATTAATACATTTCTCGAAATGCACCCTTTATATATAAACTACATTTAATAGAAAAATTAGCTCATTGATTCTTTAATATGATTGAGATTTACTTTAGCATCGAGGAACTAAAACTAGATCTAGGTGAAAAATTTTTATAACACAACTATAATTTTCACTGACACACAAATAAGACTAACTTCAAAATACTGAAATATTTTATTAAAGTTTCGCGTAATTAAATTTTATCGTAATAATTAATATGTATTTGCTTTCTCATTTATGCAATAACAACTGTTAATTGCATCGCTAAAATATGCTAGCAAAATAATAAACGAACGAATAGGTTCGATGAAGTCGTAAACATTAAATTCTCGCTATACCTGACAGATCCAATATTACATTTTAATAATAATATTAATTCTTATTATTCAGGAATAAATTTCTTCTATCCGATTACTTTCACTGTTCACACTTTGCCTTATCGTTTACTTTCGAATTATCTTTTCCCAAAGCAAAAATATAATGTTATTTCGAATTAAGCAAAAACTAGATTAACAAAAATTATACAATTAATTAAAAAGACCATATTGTTTTATTTCTATTTTTAAAAAGAATTAACATTTCGAGATTATGAGTTATTAAAATAAATTCTCAAAGAACTATATATAGTGTACAAGATCATCTACAGAACAATTTGAAATTTTTAATAAGATGTAGTACTGATAAAATTAAGTAAAACATTTATAGATAATATACATATACATACAGGTTTGTAAGGATTCTTATTTTCCATTTTCTTTTGTTCTAGATCAACCTGTAGACATGAAAAAATTAAACTACATGTGTAATTCTAACTAAACTTTATTCAGTATAATAGCTTCATTCATACGTCTGAACTCAAAAACGAATTATTCTTAATTTGTACTAATAATGCTATTAATATCTATTCGCATATTAATTCTTACATGTGTATATAAAAATTAAAAATTATAATGTAGAAAAGTCGGAAACATGTTTACTAATTAAATAAGAAAAATATTTTTATCATGTTCCACAAATTTATATTTAAGACTGCAATATTACGTGAATCCAATATTAGCCAATGTGAATTTCTTATCTGTCATAAATGGTGACGAAAATTTACGAATGCTGATTTCAAGTGGTTTACTTTTCTCAATCAATTCCATTATCTTATTTGAATCTTCTCGCGATAGACTTTTAAATGCTATAGTGTCCCTAATTTCTTCTATGTGAAGCTTAATAAAAGTTGCCAAATTTGTTTCTAAAAATTTTGCATTAGACGAGAACGCAAGCTGTATAAGTTCCACAGCATTTTCAAACGTAATATGGCGTAATAAATAATGTTCACAAATTAATTTTAATCTTGGTACATCATACTTATCAGCCGCTGTTAATAAATCTTTAAGCATGTAATAACGTTGTTCTATTGAGCCAGTTGTAAAATACATTAAAATCTGTTCAAAAGATTGTATCTCATTATCCGTTACTAATTCATCTGTCATATTTTTTACCTTTTCCTTATGTGTAAGGCAAATATACTTAAAATAACTACTGTCGGTGGCGTGCAACAATTTTCTTGATATAATATATTGGTTTTTTCCTACTATAAATTCGATTGATTCCTCATCTTTGCACCGAAACTTATCAACGATCGAATCTTCTAAATCGTATAGTTTCATACGTATAGTTTTATCTATTAGATTATGAAAAATTTCAAACTCGCAGTGTACTATAAGCGCACCTGTTCGATCAAACAAAAATTCCTCTGGCGAGAACTCAATTAACAATGTCATATCGGATATATGACCTGAGATAAAGTTTGATGACAAATATTTTCTCGGCGCATACGTTATAGTAGTGGTACATGAACCACAAAATGAAT